TGTTCTAGTAAATAAAATCAACAAAAACCGAATTCTTGCGTTCCAGCCTACGTTCTGTCAACCTTGTCAGAAAGCACTGACACTTGTGCCACGAGGCCCTGAATGTGAATATCAGTTTTAAGCGATCAGAAATCGTATCTTAATTTCTTTATTCTCTGAATATAAATTGCAAGAAACATAATCTTGACGTTCAAGTGTTTCTTTTTTTTTTTTCAGAATTACGTGTCATTTACAAAATACAAATTGTATTAAGTTTTACTTAAGGATTAGGTAACTTCTTTTGTTCTCCATCTGTCACCTAGTTTTATGTTTTCCCATCATTTTGAAAAATTCCATACCAAGAATTGAATTTGAAATGTGGTATGGAATGTAGACTTGTGTAGACTTTAAGTTCGCCGAATCTGACAAAGACACAGAAAAGAACCTCCATTGTTTTAACTTAAATGTAAAGGAAAATGTTCGACTTCTTTAATTTTGAAGGACAGTTATGAAGCCTTTTAGAATGATGTACGCGTGTTTAATTTGCTTGTTATTTTGGGGGCTAGAGCAATGGTGCACTGTACCTGGTTCATTAATTGACTTCCCTGACGTTATTCCATATCTTTATCTCCAAAACGCATAATTAAATTAAGATTTTTTAATCCAAGAGACAAGTTGAATATTCATTTATTTATTTTCATTCTTAAATCAGTCACATAAAAACCTTTGGGTTCTGATGCCATAACCGTGATATTTCGCATTTCTCTAAATGAAGCAAGCCAGCGTTCCAGCCTACGCAATAAACTAATGAGTGGAGAAGGTGTTTTATTTCGTCTATTGAAAATACCACGGGTTCTACTGAATGAAAGATCATTGCAAAAAAATAATAATTTATGTTATTAGGTGATAACAGAGCACATAAGTGGCTATCACTGACTTTAAATGAAAACGACTCCCATCTTTCAGACCATTCCGTGATCCAAGAATCGCACAACTTCAACAAAAAGGACATAAACTTTCCATTTCGCTGGAAAATTGTTCCGCAAAAGAATCCATTCCAAGCTTTTGTCACCTCTGGTTTTATAGTGGACGTGGGAGTATCCGTTTGAATTCGGACAAATATCCACATTTTTTACAAAATGCCCGTTGGAATTTTACGACCCCCGATCATGCGGATTGATAGATGAAAAAGAAAAAAAAACAGCGTATGGGGCACTACTTAATAAACAGTGCTAGGTTGTTTTTGGGCTGTTTGCAGAATAAGAAAATATCTGGATTGCGTCTAACTTCTTGCAACATCCAAGGCCTGGTCTTTTTTTATTATTTTGTTTTAGCCTTCAATCTTGGCCTCCTGGTTGACACCGGTCGTGCAACTCGTCGCTCGCACGTGTCGCCACCACGCTATCAACGAGAGGGCCTATAACTCAAGGGGCGCAGGTTTTGGTTTACCAGCAGAACGCCTCCGCTGCACTCTCGAGTACATTTCTAGCAATTTTATCCCTTTATCTCTTACTACACCAGTCATCAAGTACCGACATAGCCACTGTTGTGTGTTATCGCCTACTACGGATGCCTCGTTCCTCCGCCCTGCTTTGCCTTCAGATTCTGCTCAATCAGACCACACGCATATTTTAATCAGTCCAGGATGTAAGAATTGATAAATAGATAATTTTATATGTTACCTCTTTTTTTTTCCTTTCACTAATTTTTTTGGGAATTAATTTATCTATTTATTTTTTGGCAATAGACATATTAGTATCGTATGTATCGTATCTACTTGGGTCTCTCTCGTTGCCATATTTAACACAAGCCTCAGTTACCAGGGTACGGGGAGGATTAGCATGCAGACGAGTGCTTTCGCCGTAATATTATCATAGAGAGTATCAGATAAATTCTTTATTAATAGCTAACGTTCAAAGGTCTAGTTAGGGCTCTTGCGATGTAGCGCGAAGTTGTGTATTTGTTGTTGTGTTTATACATATATATTAAATATAACAAGACGTCATTTTTCACTCCTATCCCAGCAGGGATGTGTTCCGCCCGCGCAGAGGCATGGGGCCCTGGTAATTTGCTGTTTAAAATCGATAAATTCTTAGCAGACTTGTCCCCGTGCGTGGAGCTAAGGTCATTGCTCATGAATTGGCCACCAAAGACAGTTGGTAACATCCATTGTCGAATACTAAGTGCCTTGATAATTTGACAGATCGGAACTGGTAGTAAGTTATCTTGTACGAGATGGGTTCTCGATGATAGCCAATTTAGGCCTTTTGATTCAGACATTGCCCTAGAGAAATATGGAACTAAGAAATAAGCGGTTCCATGATGAAAATCTAAAGGCCTGTTGTTTGTGGCTAGTTTTTTAAAGCTTTGCTAGTAAATGTGGCTGTTTTTGTAGAAATTTTATTGTGAGTGAATAGACTGGTAATTTCTCAGATTTAAATAATGAAACAAAACGTTCAAATAGAACGCTTGTACCATTTTCAAAAAAACCGTTTCTTCTCTGTAGTATTCACGACAGGGCGACTCGGAGATTCGGTATTTTTGCACCGACTGTTAGATGCCTGTGTACAGAGGCCTGTTTGCCCAGCCCCAAGGTCCAAAGTAGTGTTTAATGGGCTCGGCTAACAGCGGACACATTATGTACTGAACATTGTGTCATCCAAACACTGGGGTGCAAGTTTCTTTGTCAATACACTTCTAAGGTAAAGAGCGCTGAGGTGCCTAAAACTACGTAAATTGGTCGACATTTAACACGATTTAATAGACTAATATTCACGTACGCTATGATTTGTATTGAACACTGAAGCATATTTAAACCTTTAATAAAATATTTAAGCCCTTAAAGAAACTTATGAGTTTGTAATAGCCCCCATGTTTACACAAGGTGATCCCTCCTATTGATGAAGCGCACTTCATTTTGCGCCTGTGGTATAAGCCACCTTTTTGTCAAGGACTATAGCGGGTTAGTAATTTGGATCAATTTTCTTCAGTAGTCGGGAAATTTGTTGCATTTTATCAATCATTTCGGTAGTTAATGAGGTACGAAACACCAGGGATTACAGTGAACAAATTAGCTGTGATAGCGAGTCTATTCAAACTGGTCCTGCCCCGTGTGATTACACTATATTATTCCTGCAACACGCGGTTCAAAAGGCAGTAGAAGAAAACGCTCGAAACGCCTCTTGACAGGTGTGGGAGAAAATGGAAACGCAAGGAAAAGCCAAACGCCCCACCTGATTAACACCCCTGTCGCACGAAAACACAGTCACATGTTTCACGAGTAGACCAGATAGAGATATCTGAACAATTCACGTATAATATGCCATAGACGACGTGTATTTTGGAGTACAGGAAACATTAAATCAAGACAAACTGGCCTTGCGGCTTACTTCAACACGTGTTACCTGCTGCGCAGAGATTTCATGCTTCTACTGCATTTCTACTCTCTGTGTAGTGAAACAGTTGTTTGCCTGTGAGATTGCTTCGCTAACAAAGCTCGAATTTCGTAGTCCCGCCGCCTAAATTTATAGGTAAACGCCCCACATATTAGGTAATGACACTGTTTAGTTTAAAAAGTGTCATCGGTTTTGATTTCGTAGACGGATCTATATGACTAACGCGGTGTTGGGAGTAACCCGGGACATTTCTGGACCAAAAAGTTCAAATTCTCGAGTGAAGTTAGTCTGAGCTTTATACTACACGGCCCCGGACTGATATCAAAGGGGTTGATCGGGACACTAAACTCGCTGTTCCCCTTTGCGAGACAGACACAAATTTTGGTCCCGGTGCACAAACAGGAAAACGAACGTATCTGATATAACAATATAAGTGATTTAAGGAAATCCCCTCTTGTGTCAAATGTCGAAATGCCTTAATATCTCGATGTCTTTAAATTTTATTGTTAATTTTGTTTAATGTTATTTCATAGCTTTTTTTAATATGAGAGCGCCTGTCGAAAACCATGACAACCGAAAACTTTTTTTTTTTGGGGGGGGGGGAATTACTGGATTTTTTTCAGAGCTTTATCTACTAAATTTATACTCACTGTCAATATAATTTCTTAACTCTTTTGACAAAATGGTGCTAACTAAAAAACTCGTCAAACGATGAGCTCGTGGGACGACTACCGACTGGAAAAGGGTTCTGATTCAATTTTGAATTCCTTCAACTCTTCCCTGACCTGTCCTGTTCACCCCAATAAGTAAGTCTGTTAAAGAAACTACACATCAAGCGCTAAAAATTTCAAACTTTTGAGCCACCCCTGTGCAGGTCCAGAGTCGGGAGTTAACGGGCTTACACGTTATTTGTTCTAAGGAATTTGACCCCGTGCTTTTGTTTTTCAAGCAGTGGAGGCCGGGGGCGAGTCGTATGTCTCATACGAACAGGAGAAATCAAATGCGTCACTGTAGAAATTTCAAATTCTACTTTTATATCTCATTTCATTTAGTCTGTAGCTTTTTAACTACTGGGCCCCCTCTTTCACCTTCACCTTTGTTTACGTGATTTAATTTTCAGAAATTTGTGGATCAAAATTGCAGTTGAGCGAGAAATTTGACATGGAAGATTATGCATCTAGTGTTTTGGTTATTCAACTTTGAGGGACGAGCAAGCAAAGAGATAACTAAAGTAGTTTACTTACGTTCCCAGTCGCCCAGCGCGCTTGTCAGAATGGCCAATATAATGTTTACATGCAATCGCGCGCAGAGAAATAGCAGTAACGCAACTCAGCACCTAAGTAAACTATTCAAGGCTCTTATTAGAATGATATTATAAACCACACAAGCGCAGCGCCATCGTATCAAAATATACATCCTTTCTTAATTGTTTCTACTATTTACAAACACTAAAGACACCGCCTCTACATCAACAATACAGCTTTTTATTCCGAGTTATTGAGAGAGTATTTCACAATTTGTACACAATATTCAAACTATTCCTAGACCTTTGCACATAATTTACAATTTTATATTATCACCTATTTGTAGTTTACAAAAGTTTTTTCTCAAATATATAATAATAATAAATATATACATACACTCTCTCTCCGCCATCAGAGAAAAAGAAAAAAGAACGAAGAGGAATAACATTTTGATTTAAGCTGTACCACCTTTCCCACTTAAATCTAGTTTGCACTTGATTGTCTTTCTGTTCAACTGCGTTCCCATGCTTGTATATTGAAAAAGTAACAGTGAGACAAAGCAAACTTTCGCATAGTGGCTTACAAGGGGATTCGTTTTCAGGGTTTCCAACCATTCACGTCAGCTAACGACGGGACCCGATTGTCGACGGAGACACCCTGTGTATAGGGTTGGTATCAAATTGAACGGGCGTAAAGAAAGAGATGGGATTTTAAGTGCAATTTCTCGCACCACGGGCAGCCATCTTCGTATTAAGCTGATTTGCTCAGTGATTGTTAACTTCTGAGAACAAGGTTTGTTTAGTCTCTTTACTGCTAAAGCAAGGGAACGCAGACATCAGCCAGCGGAAAGGGTGCAAAAATAAGAGCCAGCTGCAGCCCAACAACTCTTTTGAAAGCACTTTAAAATATGTAAAAATTCTAGGTGAAAAGCGAAAAGCGGCCTAGGAAAAACTTCCCCCTGTATACCATGGCTAGTAAATTAGACTTTGCGTTTGTATATTTTCGCCGCATCTGCAACGTGTGTCTGCTAAATTTCTCCCTTGTCATCTGTTCACAGCCCCCTACCTCTACGAGGTATAAAGCTTAAACTTGCCATATTGAAGAAACACCACGTGAATCAAGCACAGGGATGATACACAGGGTTGGCTTCCATATACCAGACGAGGTATCGAAAAGTAAACTGGTTCTCCGACACCGGTATACCACGGATAACACAAACATTATAAATTATAATAGTGTCCAGAACTTGCTTAATTACAGCAACAATTAACTACTTTTTCACACTACAAATACACACAATTTTTGGCTTGGGAAGAAAATATATAGAAATGTGTGTATATATATTATTTATATATAATTTGTTTACATATCCTTTTTTCTCGTTTTTTTCTATAAAAAGCTTCACATTTACTTTACATTTTGGGGCATTTCACGTGCCGCCTGGTGAAATATTTGGGAATTTCACATTTGTGCGGTGGTTCGCACAGTTTACTGCGCTTCAAAAGCTGTTGAGGGAATCTCTATGCAGATGAGCTTCTGACCCGTCACCAAAAACCGCATTCTTATCACACTGTCAATAAATTTTCAATCTCTAAAATACAGGCTTGTCAACGAAGCAGATTGCTATCTCGGCATGAACGTGAGATGCAGGTCACTTTCCTCGCACCTGCTTTTGGCGAAGCCATATCATTTACGTGTCACAGTCCCGTTCAGTATAATACACTCCGGTTTTTTCTCTTTCGTCGGATGGCTGAATCCCGAACGTCGGTATTTTGACGTGCATTTGATGCACGGAATCTGCGTCATAATTATTATTACATTTTAAATTAGTTTGGGCTTCATCGTTGAATCTTTACTGTCCGGCTTCCTCCAATTGTCGTCTTCTTTTTGTGTATCCACTGCAACTGCCTTGGGACAGTTCTTTGCTGGAGATGAACGACTTCCATTTCGAATTCTACCGGCAACCGCATCCTTCTACAACCATATCTTGGTAATTTTTCAAAACTACTTTGTCATACTCGTCCAGATAGAGCATTGAGATTGGGCTCAATTCTGTCGGGATACAGCATGCTTTAGGCACAGCGCTGGGGTTCACTGAATTTACTAGCGTCTGTACAATAGCATGATTTGTAGAGTTAAGATGATCTGCGAGTGGGAACGGGCAATCCCCATGGCAGTAAAATGCTTGGTACCCAGGCGGGGCGACGATCCAGTCGTCCCAGCCAACATCTTTAAAGTCTACATATAAAGCATGCCTCCGACACTGCTCTTTGCTTTTTCTCTTATGGCTTCGTGACCGCCTTTTCCCTTCTCTTTTAGTCCTTTTTGATCTAGTATCGTCACTGTATGTGACTAAAAGTGGTCTCTGGGCCTGCCATGTGCTGTCGTCCCCATTTATCGATCGCCTCAGGCGAACGTGGGACGATTTCAGTTCTGAAGGACGGCCATCTAAGCGAATAAAATGCACTTCTACTCCGTGGCTCTTGCGTGGTGTTGTCCTCCATTTGACAACGGCTGGAGTGAGGTCTAAAGACTCCCAACTCGAATTCCTAATATCTATTATTTTGGTATCTAATAGTCTTGTGATTGAATCTCGATTTTTAGTCTGAGGCTTTATTACCTCGTGTGCTTCTAATTTATATCTAAAATCCCTTTTACGCTTTAAACTGGGTTCCAAATGTTGTAATATTTGTTCTCTGTAAATCCTTAATTCTGCAGCTTTCAGAATCTCCTCTTCTGGGACGCTTGAAATATTGAAAATAAGAGTCACTTTGTCCGTGGAAGATTGGGCTTCGTGTACTTTTGGCTCTGCGGGTGAAAAGAAAGCACATAATCAACATGCTGTGTACAACAAAAGCTTTAAATGAATAGATCTGGATAGGAAGGAAACGCAACTAATAAATTCAATATTTCAATTATACAGTCTATAAACTAGGAGGAAAACTAAAACATTTATATAACTGTAACTGTAAAGTAACTAATTCATATTTACCAAATTACAGAATGCGGAAAAATCGTGTTACCATTAAACTGATTCAGATCTATCAAATTACTGCTTCTAGACGAAAAGGAAAACGAAACAATTATCTAAATGTAAGATTAACGATTTGTGGCATCAGAAACTATGTAAGAAATGTAAGCCAGTGAAACCTGAGAGTGCGTAAATTTCATCTCGCACATATCATAATCTTTATTTCACCACCCAGATACCCTACCTGATGTAAAGATCAACTGAGCGATGTTTGCATTTCATAAACTATGCTGCACTTACCTAGGTGATGAAAACTGCGAACAGTATTTGCTGACCCTGTGAATTTTCCTCGCACATTAATATCGCCTCCCATGATCTCCTCCGAGTCTCTTATTTGCATTTGTTTTTGATACAATTCCAACATGTACTGTGGTATTTCTAGCTTTTTGCGGGGTCGAGGTCTAGATCCTAATCCGAACATTTTCAACAGACTGGACTCTAGCGCTTGAATGTCTTTAGTCCTTTGGCCAGAGTTTTCACGGATGGTCGTTCCTTTTTCACTAGTCTCTCCTGTGTAATCTTCTCGCCTATTATTATTAGTGTTCCCCGCAACTAAAAGCGCCGTTTCTTGTCCAAAGACGACCACACTTAACACGATGACGAACAGGTGCCAGTTTCCAGCGTTCATCGTGAAACCTGCAACAAAACAAAACTGAACATTATTCCAAAATTATCGGCCACGTTTTAAAAAATATATATATAACAGTAAACTCCAATAATGGCGTTCGTATGTACTCCTTGTAGTGGAATCTACATGCACGCATCATGGCACCCGTACAAGGGGGGACCGTCCCGAGCTGGTGTCAGACAAGGCTATGAAGCCAATATTTGGGGGTTGTTTGTGTTAGGAATTCCCGTTATACAACCGTTCGTTCACTTACAGTGACCATATTGGACATAAGCTCGGTGAAAACAAAGTGATACAGAATTTGAACAGATAAGCTTTTACACATGCTGAGCTTGGACATATTTGTGCTACGATTTACAGGTCGAAAAACAGGCGTCTATATAGACGGGTGATCCTGCTGTTATTTTATAGTTGAAATGTTCGAATAAAAATTTGATAATTTTGATAAAATGTTGTTATGTTTCAACAAGCGAAACAAACCTGAAAACTCAACGGCTGACGGCATTTCGCCTTCCCTTTTTTCACTCTTTATTAAATCAACAAAAGCCTTTGCCTCTTTAAACTTCACTAAAACGCCCCTTTCACCTGTGCGGTTTTGCAGACTATTCCTCTTTCATTCAGCTAACGTAAATAAAGTATTCTGCAGATCTTTAATTTAGAGAAACTGTAGACAAGATTTAGGCATGCTATTTTGATGCTTTTACTAGCACCGATCGAATGTCAGTGGTTTTGTATCGAACGAACAATGATTTAGTATTTGTTTTGGTTTATCGAATCCATCATCTTTCATTCTTCCAGACTTTTTCAACAAAACTTGTTGGCCCTCTGCTCACACGGAGGTCTTTAATTGATAAAATTGACTTCAAAGCAGCGGTCACATCAAATTCAAAATGCATAACCAAGATTGGAGTCTGATAACATGACAGTAATCTGACTGGATTTCCGTTGGCATAGTACAAGGAATATTGCTTTACTAGTAAAAACATTAATTCGGCTGCGAAAAATTCATTGAAATACAGAGATGAAATTGACACGGGAAGTAATTCAACAGCTGCTTGGTTTTGAATATACATGAACGATGAAAAGACGTAATCGACGGAACACAACATTATGAGCAAGGTTAAATGATTGACTGCGCGGGACCTTATATTGTACAAAGGGCCGTTGGGGATGATAAAAGACGAGTAAAAAAAAATCTTTCCCGCATTCTGGGGTCGATCGACAGGTGAGTATATTCTACTACTGGAGTAACAACATCAATAACCTGTAAGACAATGTGCACTCCGTGTATCAATTTTGCCTCACCACGGGCCAATTACTTATGGTTTTAAATCAAGCACCCCAACGGGTGGTCGTTCAGCAAGAAATGTGTGTAGTGGCTGTACCTGCGTTCTCTGATCCAGGAAAACCAAGTTCATGTTGAGTTTCACTAACAGAGGGCGTTATTAAATATTGATACTGTCCCTTTCACATTTAAGGTGGTTAGATTCACATTTTGAGCAGAAAAATGCTTTTAAAAAAGAAAAATTGTTATGCCGATTTCCCTCGTCAAACAAGCAAACTTGGGCAGATGGAACGATCACAAAAGACACCCCACACGATACATCGACCATACACCAACACGATCTCTGTATTACTCCTTTAACAAAATATTTTGTTTAAATAGCTGTCTGCAACCCTCTCTCCCAGCCAGTAATGATTTTGCAAAATGTGCCTTTGATCATCGCTTACTTGAAACCGTGTGGGGATACGGAAGCGATTTACACTCTTACAAACACTGGCTTCAATTTGCTCAAGGGCCGGGGATACATAGCCCACTAACAAAAAACAGACGTAAAGATTTTTTCAATTAATTATCCCATAGAAGATTGACATATGGTAACGGATATGTGTGTATAATTTTAGCCGAAGTAATCAAGCTATGAACTTGGAAAGCACGTGGTGGGTTTCCAAAAGCAGGCCCAGACACCCAGGCGCCCCGCGCCATCTGTAGTTTTCGGATAGGAATTCCTGTGCGATTATCAGTGGCAAACCCAGAATGTGAAAAACATTATCTAATTTTTCGAGTAACTCTGAGTGCAAGCTTTTTATTATTATTAACACGCTGAAGTTTCTGCTAAGTGCATTAGATACAATATTGAGACAAGGAAATCATTCGCCGCCTCAAGTAGTGTTATTTCCTTTAACATAAACGCTAACATAAAACCTGGGACCCATGTATTTGGCTCGACTATTTGCGCTCATTAACGTGTTGACATCTCAAGAGAATAGCTATCCATTTAACCAATTGAGGGGAATTAGTGTTTCACCTTAAGTTAAACCTAAGGGCCGTGCCATATTTATGATGAGTGGTCATACGAGCTATATAAAGACTGTTTCCCTTTCAATGGCCGTAACGCTTCAAAAGGTCCCACAATTTTAATCCTGTTTAAAAGGGGGCTGTGTTTTCAACTGCTTCGAGATGTAATAGCAGGGACAAATTACACCCGCGAAAGACAATGTGTGAAACTAATTTGCCGAACTAATTTGTTCCCATGTAATTTCAATAACTATAGCTGTGCATTCATACCTCCGGGCTAGATTGAAAGGGGTTGCGATCAGATAAGGTGATATGCCCGCTGGGGGAAACTCCCCATCCCTCATTTACTTCAATTGATGTGGGGGAACGTGTGTTTCTGACAGCTCCCTCTCACTTGCCATGGTGGAGAAGGTACGATGGAATGTATGGCACTTACCAGGTAACTGCTCAGTGATGTCCGAGAACAGGCGGATACAGTAGAAAGACCGGTGGACCAAGGAAAGCCCCGATACTTGAGCGGCCTACCAAAAATCCTTGACATGAACAGTTTCCATTCGGGTAAATATAAATGCATATATGAAATGTAAATGTACTCCTTAAATGCACTGAGTTAATCTTCGAAAGCTCAAAGTAACATATTCACATAATTGTTTCTGAAAGGTTCTCTAACTGCGGCGCGAGGTTAAACTCCTTGCTAGTTTATTCTTGTTCGATTTGGCAATGTAATAAATCCGAGAGGCTTGTTCTCCCGTAGTGACTGGTATCTGCCCTCTTGCACTGTCGCTTGTTTGTGGTGTCTCTTTCTTCCATTTCGGAAGTTAAGATCCACAAAAGTTGCCGTTTAAGTGAGCATCAGGTGTGCTTTTCAACAAATTCCCACACAGAATGACTTTGCTGCTTGTGCTCGTCAGAGGTAAATCCTAAGAAATTGTTTGCTGATTTTAATCCGTGCTCTTGTTTCCCACTGAGTCACTTGCCGGAATAAGTTCGGAGCATCCCACTTTCCAGTCTGCAGATTATATCACTGTCGATCACTTTTCTGCTTTGTCCTTAAGTGTGCGCTGATTGGCTGTTTTCATCCTAGTCAGGAGCTAACACGCATGCGTCAATTTGGGCCCTGTTAATAAATTGAGAGAAGTCAGTTAGCGAAAAATTGATAAAATTTCTTCTTGATATGAGTTAGAATGGAGACATTTTAATTTCGGAACAGGTGGGTTCTACGTTAAGAGAAGGATATGGTTTCATTCCGCTCTGATATCACAAGAACCTGACAAATAAGAACTCGCGTTAAGGAAAGGAAAAATTAAAACACGGAGGAGGAAATATACTTAGCGGCAAGGTTTGACTGCAACATGATTAATGCATTTAATAGTATGCGTTGTTGTTCCTCATATAACTGAATCATTGGCGCTTTGCTTTGAGGGGGGGGGATCATGGGATTAATGACCTTACTACATTTTAGTTAACTGCGTTACAAACAACGACCACGCGCTTGATGACAGGTGACAAAACGATGCCCTAGGGCGATACTTTTAATTTGCGTTAGATTGTTAAGACGAAGGATTCCTTCCAAGTTTATGTCGCCACAGGCAAAATGCAGTCTTACTTCCTACTAGAGCAGCATTAATTGAGCCTCCGCAGTTAATATTTAGAAAAAGAACAGACCACAGTCTATGCGGTGACAAATTTCGCCTTAGTCCAATTGATTGATCACGGCTCCGTTGACAAAAGTACAGCTATTTCAAAGGCATTGTCATGCCGCTTTATTTTCACTTTTAAACCGTGTAACCTTCTCATGTTCGACTTTACATTACTTCTAATACATTTGTTTTGTACTGCTTAAATTATATTGCTGATTTTATAAGGTTCAATACTTGTGATCAGCTTTCTCTTTCAACGTAACTAATTCCTTAACAAAGATACCAGCATTCGTTTCTTTGACCTTCGGGGCCTTAGATTAAAGTCTAAACGGAAATAAAGACACGTCTGTCTGTAGCTTTTGTTCTCGAAAGAATTGATTGCGAAAACACTGACTTTCTTAATTTGACTCCCAAGTTTCCAAACCTTCACTCTTCGACTTGCCAATTCAGACCATGTATACTGTATCAATTTATTTAACCCTAGACCCCACTTCAATGGCTTCGGCATGCTTTCAACGTTTCTAAAGGTAAACTGCGCTCAAAAGATGTGTGTTTTTGGAGTCGTCTTTCTGTATATGACAGTACAATGTGTTTTCCTATGACGTGTAGATTACGGTCAGCTGTTCGTACAGATGGAAGGGGAACACAGCTGTCACGAGAAGCAAGTACACTTGTGTTCCTCATCAGAGACCGCGAGCGGTTTTTTAGTTATTTGAAATGCAAACTCGAGTCAAACCCCAGTTTTGGATAAGATCAGTTGGGATCCCGGCGGGTATACTGTAAAAGGCCTATTATTTCCTTGTGCATGAGAGGTAACATGACAAGACATCATTGCGACACTTTGTGGAAAGGATCCGAAAGAGACATCAAAACCGCATCAAAATATCTTGCTTGCTCCCTGGTCGCATATTTGTCACATTTATACTCCCACTTCTGATAGTTGTCACTTTATTCATTATTCTCCGGGTCATCTTATGGATCCTCCTCATTTGGTACTGTGATTTTATCTCAGAGATGGTGTAAAGTTAATAGTTCATAGTGCGATAGTTTAATAATTGCTCACTTCCAAAAATGAACTATATTAAGTTGCACACCTGAGGGGACACAGGAATGTCCTCATTACAAGGAATGACCCCCACTTCAGGGTTATTTGCGTCAACTTTATTATTACTTGTAATTTGTTAGGCGACACAATCTATTGGTCACAAACGATGTCGGTCAGTTCGGAGAGGCGGAAAATCAGAGGGAGCGGCTAAATTTTGGTTGGGGGGGGGGGCGGCGTACGTAGGAGGTGCACGCACCCTCCGGCCGTGTATATCTAATAGGAGGAAACTTATACATTTGATTAGTCTTAATTCATCGCGATAAGTTGGTTACTTTGATAAGAACTGGAGCTGCGCCGCATTATGTATCATGACCATCACCCCCGACAATGAGAGCAATATTGATGTGCTGGACCGGGGGGGGGGGGGGGG